GGAGTCAAAATGGAAAAATGGGGGATCCTTAAAACAGATAAACAGATGTATAGCAGCTGAATATGCTGATAAGCGATGGGAGGTTCTTCTAGCAGCTTGTCCATGATACGGCAAACTCCTGCTTTGTATTCTCCTATTAAGTTATTTATTTCTAACATGCGTCCTTCCATGCTGTATGTTGTGAACAGCTTTCCTTTGGATCGGCCATGTTTTGCATTCATACGTTCATACACAGGAAGTACGCAATAATCGATTACCTTTTATTGCAAGCGCAAAGGCAGTTTCTGAATAGCAGCAGTTTCAATTTTTCAAAGGTGCTCCATGCCATATTTACTGTTCCACTGATTTTAAAGAGTAGATTCTCCGTAGCAGAGATCAGGTTTCATGGATAAACGCAGTTTTGTACGTCCTCAAGCTTTAGCTTCTGCAAGCTATAGCTTTGTACGTCTTCTTCGACTTTCGCTTGTGATTTGTCATTCTCAGTACTTCCTCATGATCTTCTGCTTGAAAATTGGCTTGTACTGCCCCAGTCTGTAATCACTGCTGCTGCTGAATGATGGCACTACTGCTATATCTCGAGTGATAAGGTGCTTATCGTACAGACAAATTCAGTCTCGTTGTTCATTTCTACGTTTTGCGCGATCCATGTCCACCTGGCGTTAATCTTCTTCTTGAACTTGGTACTGCCAATGTTGTAAAGGGCTTCCTTTCTACTATAGTCACCAGCTGATCTCCTCACTCTCAGGTTCTGTGCCTAACGGCGAACTTTTCACTGGCGCTTTCTCCTCTGACATTGGTACTGAAGTCTCCCATGACGAGAATATACCTGGACTTTCAGGCCAGTACAAGTTTCAGTTCTTGATAGAATTCTTCCACTTGCTCCTCGTCCACTGTACTTGTAGGAGCATAGGTTCGAAAAATGTTCATGATTCTGTTTTTGTTCAGTTTGAGGCGCTGCACACACAGTCTTGGTAACTTCACTCGCCAGGAGTCGACTTTGTTCATTCGGTAATTCGAAATGGTTTAACAAATCTGCAACTGTATGTCAAACTTGAAACCTTTCATAAACTCGAATTTATTCTGAGGGTCCAGATCTTCTGGAAACTTCGTCTGAAAGGCACACTGCAATTTCCAACAAATATTGCTGGAATTTATTGATACCGGATTGACTGTTGTCAAATCATAATCAGCAATTCGTCGGTCCCCTCCCTCTGGATTCGTTGAACGAACTCGCCATGCAAAGGGTTATATAGAAGGTGCTTCGGCTGGTTAGCGATTATGCCCTGTATCTTTAAACTGAGCTGATGACCAACTTTTAGAAAAAATGGGTACCTTTTCATATAATGCACTGAGTCATTTGGTGACCGATTATTTAAAACAATGCCATGCAGGAACAATTCCCTAAAGTAGTTGCATAACGTCATATGAATAATAAATTTTCCTCTCAGCTGTTTTGCTCCCGCTGAGGTGTAGTTAACTCGATGTTACTGTACTACACTTCTTTCCCGTGAG